CCTGGCAAGCGCCTCACTCTGAAGTTCAAGTGTGCGGTATGCATGTGCATTCACTCACTCACTCCAATGCATGTCATGCTTTGGGAGATCAATACTCTCAACTGTCAGGACTGAAGGTAAGTAGATTACTGAATATTTTACCTAAATCAATTTCCATAGCAGTTTGGCAGCACTACATGGGAAGCACAATTTATCATAACATAAAGACCCATCTAATATAAAAAATGTCTAATAAAAAGCTGGAGGAGACTGAGACAGGCTTACCACTATTTCCATATTGATTTATCTCTACATGCAGGTAGTAATTGATTAAGTCTGTATCTAGCTGTGTGACACAGCTTGTGCACATTGTTTGTGTCATTATCCACACACATTGGCACACCTTTATCATTAAACTGGCACAATTCACTCCTGACTGATGCCTCCTGCAGGTGTACATATTTCAAGAGTAAATGGGAGTGACAGAGAGAAGAGGAGAGTGAGAGGAAGGGAATTAAAAAGAAAGTGCAGAGAGAGGAGAGTGCCGAAATAGAAAGAAAGTGAGAGAGAGCACATATGAGAGCGAGGGGTGGGGTGGAGGGGGACACTTCCCCTCTGATGTTGCAGGTAATATGGCCAACACTGGATCAGCCTCTTCATCAGTGACACACAGTAAATTACAAGTGCTTCAAGCAGCTCAGTGAATTATAGTTCATCACTTGGAAAGGCTTTCCCCCTCACCACTGGGGCCCAGGCGTATCAGATCTGCCGGTTAGGATCCAATTAACACCCTGGCCGGAATCATCTGATTGCATGTGTAAGGGCTGGTATAACTCGTTTATTGCAACCATGTATCTTCTGTCACAAGGTAAATTTGTTGCTGCTACATCAAAGGTCTAAGCCACTTTTTTTTTTATCCCTCCCTCCCTCCCTCTCACTTTCTCTTGATCCCCCCCCAAACTCAGCTACCTCGCCTTGGGGTTGCATTTCAACTTCGTTTGCATCACAATGATGAACCTGCTCTGTCCTCGCAATTTAGCAATCTTGTCCTGTAGGTGTTGTAAATGCAGGAAAAAAGAGAGGTAAGGAGGGAGATGGGGAGTGAAAAAAAAATCTTGTTTTCTGGTTAAAAAAGCAGTAACCAAGGGTGCATGACTAAAAATGTGCTGATGTTTTTTTTCTTCTCTTTTTCTCTCAGAGTCAACAGCTGAGATACTCAAAACCTAATGAGACCATTTGGCCCTTTTTTTTTTTTTTTTTTTATTTCACTGTGATAATTTTTCTCTATTTTCAGATCCAACCAGAGGGGATGGAGTGGAAACATATATTCATAAATGTAAATGTGAAATTTCATCCTTTAGCCATGCATGCTGGAGTCAGCTAACCTATACTAAAGCCTAGCGTCTCAGCCCTTTTCCCTGCATCTTTGTGTGTGTGTGTGTGTGTGTGTGTGTGTGTGTGTGTGTGTTCTAGTTGAAAGCCAATAAGCAGATAAGTCCTGCTATCGAGTTGATACTGCCTCAGTGGTGACACGTGTGAACCTGACCTTTAAAAGTATGACACTTTCTAGGATGGCCCAGTGCCCACAGCCAGTGTGACTGGCCTGGGCAGGGAGCTATAGAATTTACAGAAAACAGGGCTGAAACAACATCGCCATCCATCCATAAACCATCCATAAAACCTTAAACATTTTCATTCAGACTCAGAGTGGAGCATTGCACAGATGGGACCAAGGTTATAAGTCTTGCAAAAAGGTATTCACAGCTTGATTGTGTGAAAGGGTCAGAGCAGCAACCCTTGATCAGAGTAAGCTCTCAGGTTTTGCATGGTTAAGAATTGGACGTTAACTACTAGGAAGAGGGGTCAGGGAGTACCTTCACAATGTCAATGCCTCACAAGATGAGGTTAGGGGGTCATTCCAGATGACCCTCCTGACATATAGAGGTGAAGACTGTGTCACAGTGAGAGCCTCAGGGTGACATGTTGGGGGGGTGGGGGGTATTAAGGTAGTCAAGTGTGTTTGTAGTTGCTACAAACGCACCTTATTTTCTGAAATGTCCAATGAATCTTACTCCAAGCCACCAGGTGTTAAACTGCTTTAAGTACAGCTCTGTACAGTTCCTTATCAATAATGATCAAGAGTAATAAACAAAACAGCAGTGTAAAAACTTCAACTTAAGTGGCATTGTGCATGTGTTTGTGTATGAGCGCAGGCTGTGTGTAGATGCAATATGTACTGTACATGTGTGTAAGTAAAACAACTGTCAGATTCATAGGCCTCTGTAATCCCCTCTGCTTCTCCTTGTCCGTGTTTCTTTATTTGTATTCCAAATGTCAGTGTATAAATGCCTTTCGGGGGGTGGGGGGGTTATTGCCATAGAGAAGAGCAGAGCGAGGGGAGAGAGGAGCAGAGGAGAATGGAGCAGGGTGTTGTGTGCCTTGGGAGAGCCATGTAAGCAGCATGGAGGAGGCAGGGGGATTTACAGGGAGAAATAGGTGTTTATTGAGTGCTCCCGTGGGCTTACTGTGTAATAATAGACCTGTCACATTACGCAAATGTGGAGAAGCAGCTTGTGTGTGTGTGTGTTTGTATGTGTGTTTGTAGAGCTTTCATTTTTTTCTTCTTCTTCTTTTTACATGGGTGTGTGTGCGTGTGCATGTAAATGCCAGAGCTGCCTGCCTCCGCATCATCAACTCCTGAGAAGCAGAAATAAGTGAGCGGATAGAATTAGTCAGGCGAGAGCCTTTAGTTGCTAATACGCGTAATTAAAACGGCAAGCAGAGCCACTTAGATGCTTGTGTACTAAATAATTTACACGCCATGATCTATGGATCATTTCTCACTCTTAAATACCAAAGATGGGAGAACAACAGGGCAAAAAGAAGACTGGCAGAGGATTTATCACTATCTCTGCCATAAGCAGGATGTCATGGAAATATTAATCCTTTTCCTACTTTCTACTGCGCTAATCATACAAGAGGATCAACCTGCATGATTCCTCCGGTGGAAAACATGTAGCTTGATTGCCATTGACTCTTATCAAGCCAGAAAGTTAATAAAACATTGCACTATAGCACCCAATGTGGCCTGATAATCCAGGTAAATAATGCAGCTTTATTGGTTAAACTCCCTCAAGACAAGAATAAAAAAAAAACAAAAAAAAAAACCTGCTACTGATGAGAAGGAAGAAACAGAACAATAAGAGTAGCAAAACAACGCTTTTTAATCAAGTAAGAGCTTCTAATGCTTTATAGTGATATTTGCACAATAGAGTATTACAGCTAAAATGTCACTCGAAATGAGCACATTCAAGGACACACAGCAGACCATCAGACTGCTAAAATGATCTTGAACCAGAATGCACTGAGCCGTATTTGTGCTAATGTGTGAGTCAGCGGCGCCTCTCCTATGACACTCTGTATGGAGACTTTTTGGAGCAAAGAGGTGCGGATGTTAATAAAGGCTGGATCAACAGATGGATTACTTGGGAGCCGAGGACAGGCCGATCGGCAGGCCCTCTGATTCATATTGATTCATATCGCCAAGGCAGGATAAGGTAAGGACGGAGTAAGCAAATGTAAATATTCAATATTTACCATCTGCTGGTGTTATTAAAAGCAGGGGCTAGGACCTGGTCTGACGGTTATCATGCACTCACACTGCTCTCATTCAATATTGTTCTTCCTGCCATGTATGTATTGTACTTGGTGACTATGCAGGCATTTGTAGAGCAGGATCCCATTTGTTTGAATCTATTCACTTCAGCATACAGAACCTCAAACAGAGAAGCGCAGTGGTCCTCAACAATAATCTCGGACCGATTTTTTTTTTCCCCCTGGCTAAATAAATTAATAGATACGCTCCAGTAAATAAACAGTTTTTATGTTTATCATTCTGACGCTACTGTGTGAAAATACGTATAATATTAACAATCTTACTGAGGTTGCATTGAATTATTTAAATGTATGACTAGGTTTTTCAAACCTTATCTCTTCACCAGTACCTAATTAGGTACACAGGGGTGTGACTCCAGTTGAAGGTGTCACCATTGTTAGAGTATGTGAAAATATCAACGGGTGAGGTTAACGCCAATTTCCCTGTCCTTAATGAAATGCACAGAGTTCCTAATGAGGCAAACCTCATTGCTCCTTGATAGTACTTATTAGCCGAGTGGAGGGCACAAACTCCCACACTTCAACTATAAACAGCAAAAAATAAATTATAAAAAATAAAAAAAAAACTAATAATAAAAACAGGGAGCAGATGTCAAGGGGTCTTACATAATTTTGAGCCGGAAAACCAACTAACTCTCTTGTTGACTTGAACAAGCAGAAAGAAAACGACTCGCTAGTGTTAGTAAATTCTCAACATCCAGAAAAAAGGCAATGTGTTAATACATTCTGTGTGAGTATTGTGTCGGTGTGCAGCTTCTTGTGTGTCTGCATATGTGTACAAGTGTGACCTTTTCCAAATCACTGACAACAGAAATAGACAGCTCTATGAATCAATAAGGTAAATTAGTGTTGAAGAGTGGAAATGACAGGCAGTTAAAATTAGCTGTCTGTGTAACCCACTGGTGAGGCTGACATGTCTTTCAAATAATAACTAACCTCTGAATGTTCCGTGTCAACAACGCTATGGCTCTAATGTAGAAAAGCATATAGATCAGAGATGTCCTTCAATTTGTCCACCTAAGACATAACCACTGGATATGACTAAAGTATTAATTATTGTCCAGTTTGATGGATAATATGCATCGTATGTTTTTAGACCATAAAATGTATAACAGATGACCTGCAGACAAAACTTCCCTCTCTGAGTTCTGTCTCTGTTGTGTCTTTCTTGTGCCTATGTGACACTTAGCTTCCTGGGGACTGCCTTGTCCAGCTTTAGGATTCCAGTGACAGGTCTGAGGATTGCGTTGGAAAATCAAACACACTTGTGGAACAGAGGAAATCTTCTTTTCAGAGGAGCATGTATTATGGATGAACTTAAGAGATTAGACAGGGAGCTGCTTTACCTGCAGTGGACGCTGCTTGTCCTGGCTCTTTGGAGATTTCAGGCCACTGCCTGGCTGCTGCAAGAGTAATTGCCTCGCTACTTGTAGGGCCTGGGAAGAAAAGAACAAGACAAAAGACAGTGTGAAAAAAGAAAGAAAGAAAGATGGTGGCAGAGACAAGGGAGGAAAAGAGACAATGAAAATAAACTGTAAGATTCCCTGAAGCTGACAGCAGTGATAATTCAAATTTTCTGGGACAAAACAACCATCCCTGACTGAAAACCCTGTCAAACATCACGTGGTATTGTCCGCAACATATTCTGATGTTGTTAACACTACATTTTAGTAACAATTCACGAAGCTGTTATCAACAATCACTACAGTTTCTCTGGAGCACTCCTGAAGAAGAGGGTGGAGGGCTGAAAAAAAAAAAAGGTAAAGTACTGTATCAGTAGAATTGACCTGTCTAGTGTGTGCTCAACTGAAATACCCACTTCTCTCTGCAAATTACCGCCACATTTGCATATTCATAATATCAATTTGAAGTAGAGGCAGCACCATGTGAAGTGTCCCTGGGAGCTGTAATTAAAGTTGACAAAATCAACATCAGATTACATTTAGAGTGAATTAACTAGCAGCCCAGGTTTTACACTATGCATTATGAGCACAGGATGGGTGATAGATAGACAGAAAGATGGACAGAGAATGAGAGACCTTTCACTGCCTGATGAAATTAGTTCACAGCTGTTTACACATGGTATGAAGAATAAAAAAAAACATATTTGTAAACTGTAAAATTTGTCATCAACACCCTTTGATGCATTTGCCAGACACTGAAATGATAAGAATCACAGACGCAATGATGTGGTGTATTTTATTTCTCTAGGGTTGGATGGGATTACAGATTCCCTCCTTGCCTGGCTGTGTGTACTGAATGTGTGTGATGAGCAAGCTCCAGCTTCATAGTGGCAGCTGGGCTAGCAGCTTCACTCCAATTCTTCAACAGCAGATGGATGAAAGAGTCTGGCAGAAAAGAACATTGTGCACATCTGCTACTACTGCTGCTGCTCCACACAGCCATATAGCTTGTATTCTTCAGGCTCACAAGCATCGACTGCGTGTGTGTGTGTGTGTGTGTGTGTGTTGGGGGCGCACATATGTACACACACAACACAACAACTTCACAGGTGTTTCTTTTTTTTGAAGGAAAAAAGAGGACAAGTAAGCATGAAATAAAAAAAATAAATAAAACTCAGATGGAGAGTGACACTTCCTCAAGAATCAGGTGCTCATTTTATTTTCTGGTGCTTGCCAGTATCCATGACAACAGCTGCTTTGACAGGGCATGCATATGGTGCAACTGTGCCAGCTGGTGGGAACAATGTTTGAACTAGTACATTGTGAGCCTGAGCAAACAAGAGGAGAAGACAGGAGAGAGAGGGAGGTACTAAAAATGAGAGGGAGAAACAAGACCAAAAAAGTTGCCATGTCTTAACCCCTCAGGGAACATAGCCACCCCCCTGATCAATTATGAAAAGACAGAGCTGGCGGGCGCTTGGAGAGGTGGTCGTAGTGCTGGGGGTGGTGGTGTGTGTGTGTGGGGGGGGTCTGTCTGTGTCTGCTCAGGAGGAGCCAGGCTTTCTGAACTGAAGTAAACAAACACATTATACCAGCACTGAGTCCTAACTGCATTGATCTGTCTCCTTGGTAAGAGGAGTCTAGTCGCCACTGGTTTAAATATGTGTGTGTGTGTGTGTGTGTGTGCACTGTGACATCTGTAAGCTGAGCCAGGGCTTCTGAACATACACACAGGCACATTCTAAAAGTTGTGATAGTACACAGCAGCACCTGCCGTCAGCAGACACACAGATGCATGAAGCTTTGTTTGTGGGCTTTTTCAAAATGGATGGGAAATCAAACATTGCTTGACTTCCTTTTACTGAACGCATAAGAGAAAACAAACTCTTTGAATGCAGCCAATCACTTTACTAATTAAAACACAGGGCTTAATTAATCTCATCATGATTGGTGAATCAAAGTAATTATAAGGCTTATTGAGTCCTGCACACAGTAGTTAGAAGGAAGGCTGCGTAATGACAGCAGCCTAAAATAGCTGTCAGGAGTAAGTTTTCATTAAATGTACTTTATACGACTGTTGCATGCATTTGCAGAACTTGTGTAGATGTGTAATTCCAGTACTGCATGAAGGTAGTTTAACCCCACATAGTTTATTCACGTTACAGCTCACTGTCATCTCTGTTTTCACTCTTTCTGACACGTTACATTGTTTTCTACAGGAGCAAGTGTGATGAAACAGAAGAGGCAGATTCCAGTGTAACATTTTGTTGCTGTCTTTCTGGCTTTGCTTCTGGTGCATGTTTTGCTTTCAGCCTCTCGGCGCCAACCAGACTGCAAATATGCAGCAGATATGTTCACAGATGAGTGTGTCTATTAATCATTTTCTCAATTGTTTGTTTACTTGGGAGACTGAAATATGCACACATCAACATGTCTAGCACACAGTATGTTTCAGAGCTCATGGAAAAAAAGTATTATTGTTGTTTAGTTGTAGTATTATTATTTTGTATTTTTATTTATACTGAAGAGATACAGTATAAACATTAACTTGACAATAATGATTTACATAAAACCTCACAACTTTACTCTCACAAAGTCCACTGTCTGCAATGAATTTGATGAATACAAAGGAAACCTTATTAGTTGCAGTTTTGAGGCAGTAATGCTTGAGGGTGGAGGTAAACAACTGAATTGTGTAAACATAAAAATCAAAGAAGATTAAAGGATCTAATATTTACATTAACGAAGATTACACCAAGTCTGTGAGGAAGAGAAGAAGGGAGTTGATGCCGAAGTTAAGGGAGGCCAGGGAGAGGGGAGACATCGCATTCCTGAGGTATGATCGACTAGTGACAAGACCTCGGAACCAGGAACCAGGACCCAGGACCAGCACGCCCAGGATGCCAAGACAAGGAGATGAAGGGGTCGCTGGACCCTCAGATGTATGAAGAGACACACAGGTATATTGATATCTGCGACGGCAGATGAGCGTTGGAACCGATAACAACAAGCATGACACGTACGGAATGAGGCAAGTGATTTGTTACAGAAGTTAATAGATTTTGAGGGACTGGAGCTGGAACTGAACACTACTGGAGATACTGAAATTCATTATCATGAACCGGACGAGGATTTTGACCGTAAAAAAAACTTTCTTAAGAACTCTGAAAATAAGTATTACACAGATGAGCAGTTTAACTGCAATGTCAAGACTGAAAACAAATTATCATTAATTCACTTTAATAGCAGAAGTTTATACGTAAACTTTCAGAGTATAAAACATTATCTTAGTAGTCTAAAACATTCTTTTAATATAATTGCTATTACTGAAACTTGGATCAACACTGCAAGGGGAATGGATTTTGACCTTGAAGGCTATGACTTGGTATGCACAAACAGAGAGAATAAGATGGGAGGTGGTGTGGCCTTGTACATAGATAAAAACTTTTGTTA